ATCCACTTACTCCAGTGCTAATTACGCATCACTTTCATTTCTTAACCAAAGTGTCCCCATGAACCAAATTAGGCATCACACAGGCTCCTCTGACATCAATTCTGTCATCTTTAGTAACAACACGTCGCGACGGGAGAAGGCGTGGGCTAACCAGACAGTCTGTCTCTTCTAACCCCTTGTGGTGGAGTTTTAACCCTGCCCGAGGTGATGCTGGTGAAGGTGGCCAGTAGCTATAATGGGCCACTTCGCCCCTGAAATTGTCCCTGCACCTTGCTGCTAGGCTGTGGGGAAGGGCACTGTGCATCGCACCTCCGTCCCTCCCGTCGCCCCGCCATGAGGTCGGTGGGATTTCAGGCAGGGGGGTCCTTAAATAACACACAGACCTTCATTTCTTGGAGATGCCCTTTGCCCATCTAGCCCCAGTGTGTCCCCTCCCTCTGTGCCCTAAGAGGGCAGAGGTGGGGTACGGGGAGCCCATCCCTTCCCTGCACATGGCCTGGCCCCTCCAGGGCTGTTGGGTTTGCTGTGACGTGGAGGAAACCATCCCCAGCGCAGGTGACAGTCACACCGCAACATGGCTGTGAGTCAGCCCGAGCATCCCGAGCTCCTCCATCCAGCGCCCTCGGGGTGGGCTGTGCTTCCCACCAGCATCTTCCCAGCCTCCCCGCAGCTCACGTCTGCCTGGAAAGCTGGTTCCTACTTGAGTCCTGGCTCTTTGGGAAGCTACCGAGGAGCCGGGTGGGAAGATGGGCTGCCTTCGGCATGGAGCTAAAAACTGAGCCCACGGGTGTCCCCGAGGAGCAGAATCAAACCCTACATATATTATATTTCCCTCGCCTGTCCGTTTGTCCTCCTGCCTACCTCTATGCTGCCCATCACCAGTCTGCAGGCACTAGGTGTTAGCTTTTCACCACCACCGCTATCCTGGAGTAAGAGGAATAATTGAAATATGGTTCAAAAAGCAGCCTAAATCAGTGACGAGCATATCCCTGTGGTTTCCTGGCATTTACATTTTCCTGCTTCCCTGCTCCCCTCACAAAGGCTGGGATCTCGGTGGGAAAGGCTGCCGGCCCACATCCATGGCCGGGCAGCCCGAATCCGCCCCACCGCCCGGCCCCAGCCAGGGACCGCTCGCTCCCAGGCACGCAAGGGCTTTGCCAAATTGACGCTGTATGAGTTTTCCCCATACCATGGCTGCGCGAAGGAAGCAAAAAACAACCCTTCCCTTAGCTTATTGAAGAGGGGTGGCAAAAAATCCACTGGCACTCTCTGGAGCCATCTATCAAGGCTCCAAATATACGAGGCAATTGCTGCAAAACTTGAGTTTGGCTCCGTAAAGGAAAAAAAAAACACCCCATGCCTGTTGCAAACAACCACAGCACAAAAAAAAGCCTTACAAGGCTGGGGCAGCCTCATAGATGGATTGCTTTTTAATCCCCAAAGCTACGGCGATAAATCTTTTTATTGGAAGCTCTGGAGATAGTGTGTCATTCGGGGCGTGCGGCAGCGCGGCGGGGAAACAGCTCCACGAGCTGCTGGGAGAGAGGGAGTTTCTTGGGAGCGGGGCCGGAGGTGATGGAGGAGGGATGGGTGCTCGTTGTGGGGGTGCTGAGCAGGCACGGGGGGGCAGGAGGTTCCCCCAGGACTGGGTGGTTAGGCAGGAACCGGCCGTTGGACAGACACAGCTGTGTATCTGGACAGATGGACAACTTTTGGGGAATGGCTCTTTGGAAACAAAGCGTTTGAAGAGGAGATGGTGGCATGGAGCCTGACCCAGCCACATGCTCCGAATTGCAGGGACAGAGAGATGTTTCCCCCAGCTCCGAGCGAAGATCCGGAGCAACGGCATCCGCACACTCCCCCCAGCTCCTGGCCCCCCGAAGTCCCTCTGCTCTGTCCCCTCTGGGCTCCCGTGGGCGCTGAAAGGATCATTTAGTTGGTGAGAACTCCCAGGTAGTGTTTTGGGATCCTCCTTCCCCCACGGCCATCCTGAAGCACTGGTTGATCCCCCCGGCCAGTTACATGGGTGGGAGCAGCAGGAGCAACTCACCCCATCCCTGCTTCTGCTGCCTCTCCCCCACAGGGCTCTTTCCTTCTATACCATCTGCCCGGCAGGAATAATCCCTCTCATTTATACCGGGAAGGTGGCAGGGGACCAGGCTGACCCCAAGGGCACAGGGCAGTGGGGAGCATCATCCTTGGAGCAAACAGGCTCCGTAATTCCCTTCCTGGGGGCTGCAATGAGCCCGAGGCAGGAGCTGGCAGCCACTGCCTTCCCGGTGATGGAGAAGTGTAAAACCCTCTCCATGAAACTGTTCTCCGCCGGGACACCAATTTTTTCTTAGGTTTCATGCCCTGACTGCAGCTTTTTTTTTACTAAAATTAATTATGGGATTAAAGGACTTGCCCAGGAACCTTCGACTGCAGCATCTCTTGTGAGCCCGGCTGGCGTGCAGTACCCGGGGACTTGGGGTTGTCTCCACGTGCTGTAGCAAAACCCCAGCCAGGGGAGCGAAGTTTGCTGGCACATCTGCACCCAGGAGGTGCCACTGGCCGTGCTGCAGCTGCGGCTTTGGCAAGCCTTGGGGATGCTTTTCAGGGTGATCCCTGGCCCAGCTGTGCGTGGGGCAGCCCCCAGCATCGCCGCCCAACACACCAGGGCCTCAGCAGCACGTTCCCCTCTTGCATCTCAGAGAGGGGAATTGGGGGTAGCAGAGGAGAATAGGGAGTCCCAGATCAGGGGATGGCAGGGCAGCTGGGGACCCAAGGCTGGATGAAGGCAAAGCCAGTGCCTCACCTTTCTGGCTGCTCTGAACTCCACTCCAGCTGTGCTGAGCCCCAGGACCCCCCCAAAAAAAACCCAGGGGGACACACACTCTCCTCTGGAACTGACCAAGGAGCTCCAGCTGCACCAGCTGCAGCCGTATCCTGCTCACAAGCAGGGGGACGCGTCCTCCTGACTCGTGGCACAAGGGACGTGAAGCTCCACGCAGGCAGCTGTCACTGTGAAATAAAATGCTATCGACCAATATATATAAAATGCTATTAAAAAGCCATTCCCTGGCGATTTGCGGCCGGGGAAGCGGCCAGGTGAAGTGAGATGGGGCAATAACAGCCATCAAGGAGGCATCAGTCACATCCACCTGTGCAGCAGTGACGAGGGACCCCGCACGGCTGCCAGGGTGCTGTCCCCTGCCAGGACCATCAGCGATGGGAGCCAGAGAGGGAAAGATAGATGGCTCTCGATGCCCTGTGCCACTCTGACATCCTCTGGAGAGAAGCTGCGAGCAGTCGGCAGGACCCTGAAGTGCAAAGTTACTGCAGCCCCGCGCCCACCCTCACCCAGCAGCACGCAGCAGGACCCCACAAGGGCCGAGGAAGGGCAGACCCTGCTGTGGGGATGGGGAGTCGGGGGGGGGGCCAGCCACACTGCCCCTGAGCCAGGGACCGGGTTGATGGGGCCAGGGGAGCCTCCCCAGCTGGCTGAGGGGGGAACTGGGGCTGGGGAAGTTGTGCGAGGCAAGAGCTCAAGCTGCTCAGACAGCCCCTCAGGTGGCATTTCAGAGCCTCAATATTTCATCCTGGGGG